CTGATTCTGCAGATCCCACTAATGAAGACACTTACTGCCAAAAATTTCTGCAACCGCTTCTCGAGTCACTAGTGTTTCTGTTTCCAAATATACAACAAATGCTGCCAAGAAGACCAAGCGCTGCAACACAAACCTCCAGTGCTCATGAAATCTGCAGGAAAATAAGCACACTTAACCTCCAAGGCTACAAACCTTCAGAGAGACGAGCTTAACACAGTCATGTTCAAACAGTGAAGAATTAAGATCATTTTTCAGTAAAATCTTATGCAAAGCCCCAATATATAAAGAGCAATATGACATTTACTATCAATTTTACAAGTTCAAATTTATAACAATTATTTAAGTTTAATCAGCGAGCAATATGGTCTAATTTTGATGAATATGAAAATTTACACCAGGCTTGGTGGCTCATGCCTGTAATCCCAGCACTTTGGGAGGCCAAGGCAGGTGGATCACCCGAGGTCTGGAGTTCAAGACCAGCCTGGCCAACATGGCAAAACCCCATCTCTACAAAAATAACAAAATTAGCCAGGAGTGGTGGCACCCACCCATAGTCCCAGCTACTCAGGAGGCTGAGGTGGGAGAATTGCTTGAACCTGGGAGGCGGAGGTTGCAGTGACCCAAGATCACACCACTGCACTCCAGCCTGGGCGACACAGTGAAACTCCGCCTGAAAAAACAAAAAGAAAATTTACAACTGAAGATTACAGACGACAAGAGCAACCGTGCTAAGTTTAATTAGGAAGAACAATGATACTGCTGTGAGAAATATAAAAATTTGCAACTGACGATTGAAGACAACTGTCGCCTCAACTTACTCCTACATTTTGATTTGAGTGCAGGATACCAACAAAATTCTGATTTTCAAAATTGCCATTTGCAATCACTAAATAAATGGACTTAAAGTGATAGAACAGTGAGCTAGAAGTCTGAAAAAAGAAAAGGACATTTTACAACCTGTGAATAGTTACACTGGGCCTCCTGATTTTCAAATGTGGGAATAAATTCAAAAAAAATCTCAACGCAATGCAGGTCACATAAACCCTTTTCAAGGCCAAATCTAGCCAGAAGGCAGCCTGTGTGTGACCTCCAGAGATGCTCTCTAAAGACCCCACCAGTTCTACTGTCCTACCTCTCTCTGTGCTTCAGTTATGACAGCAGTCCCTGACTCTTTCAGTATCAGGGACTGGTTTCACGGGAGACAATTTTTCCACAGAAGGTGAGGCAGATGGTTTCAAGATGAAATCGTTGCACTTCAGATCATCAGGCATTAGATTCACATAAGGAGCATGCAACCTAGATCTCTCCCATGCAGTCAGCATTACGGTTCTCACTACTATGAGAATGAAATGCTGCCACCAATCTGACAGCAGGTGGAGCTCAGGCGTAATAGGAGGCAATGGGGAGCAGCTGTAAATACAGATGAAGCTTCACTCACCCACCACTCACCTCCTTCTGTGCACCCCAGTTCCTAACAGGCCACAGACCAGTACCAGTCCACAGCCTGGGAGCTAGGAACCCCGGCTATACAGCGAGGATCAACAAATTTTTTCTGTAAAGAGCAAGCAGTAAATAGTTTAGTCTTTGTGGGCCACTTTCACTGTTACATCTTCTTATCTGAGAGTTTTCTTTTTTTTAACAACTCTTGAAAAAATAAACGCAATTCTTAGTTCCCAGAGGCAGCAGCCACTAGTGGTTTATCAACCTCTGCCTTAAAGAATATTCTCGTAAGGTTATATTATCCACCCCTGAAAATACTCATCCTATTTACTGCTGATACATATGTCTTAAAACAACATCTTTTTCTGTAAGAAAATTAAAATAAGGAGAAATTCTTGAGTCAGGTGCAGTTTTTCCCAGTTTAACCCCTATGAAACCAGGACACATTTCACAATCCATGTTTCACAGTTTTTTTTTCTGAGGTGGAGTCTCATTCTGTTGCCCAGGCTGGAGTGCAATGATGCAACCTCAGCTCACTGCAACCTCCGCCTCCCAGGTTTGAACGATTTTCCTACATCAGCCTCCCTAATGGCTAGGATGGTAGGCATAAGCCACCACACCCAGCTAATTTTTTGTATTTTTAGTAGAGACAGGGTTTCGCCATGCTGGCCAGGCTGGTCTCCAATACGTGACCTCAGGTTCTGTCCCCCGCTTGGCCTCCCAAAGTGCTGGGATTACAGGTGTGAGCCACCTCGCCTGGCTCATGTTTCATGGTTATGGCTGGCAAAATTTTCCTTCCCTACATAAAATAATGGCGTATCTTAAAATTAACAGTGTTGTAGATTCAACAAGATGTGGCATAAAATATTAACTATACATGTCACTTGGCAGTGAAATTCAAGCTTCAAATGAAAACTCGACGCTATTTATATACACCGCCACCTAATCTCATTACCTCAATAACTATAGTTCATCCAATTTAACAAGAAACAAATACAGCANACAGTGCCAGTCAATGACTAACCGGTGACTGAGAGATGGCTCAGAAAAGATTTAAGACTTCCTGAATTTTGGGACCCATTTTAAAAACTGACAGTGAAGTAGAACGATCAAAAAAGCAACCAGCAAATTACTGAGCTTACCAGTTCACTGGCAAGAATTAGAACTCCTGAGAGACAATCTTCTACATCCAGATGAAATCCTTTCTCCTGATCTGGATCAACTAAAAAACACATGAAAATAAAGGTATGCTGTGAATGCAATTTAAGACTCAGAATATAAAAATATACACATAATTTCTCCCAAATTAATTGAGGAAAGGACGAATCTTTTAAAAACTGACTTTCTAATATATTCACACCCTCGGCAACTAGACCGCACTGTGGATTTTTTGAGCTCTTAAGTAAAACTCAGTTCAGTCTTCCCTCAAAAAGTAGTATTATCAAAATGGTGTCTAGTTGTGTCACAGAATATAGTTGTTAGAAAGTGCATGAAAAAGCATTTAAGAAAGGAGTTATGATATTTGCAACTAACTTTCAAATGGTTGACAAAGACAAAAAATGAGAAAATTAAGCAGATGTAGCAAAATATTAACAAGTGGAAAATCTAAGTGGCGTGTAAACAGGTATTCATTGTACTATTCTTTCCATTTTCCTGTAGGCTTGAAATTTTTAAAAATCCAATTTGGAAAACTGAAAGAAGCAAGTACATATGAGTTACCACTATTATTTTTAGCTTTTGTGTTTCCAAGTACAGTTGGCCCTCTGTGCTGACCAACTGCGGATTGAAAATACTTGGGAAAAATAAACAAAAATAATAATACAATTCAAAATACAAATTTTTAAAATTAATACAGTATAACAACTATACAGCACTTAGATATTTTAAGTAATTAGAGATGATTTAAAGTATGTGGGCAGAAGTGTATAGGTTATATGCAAATACTACACCATTTTATATAAGGGACTTGAACATCCTCATGTTTTGGTATTGGGAGAGTTCTGGATCCAGTCATCCTCAGATAACAAGCTACGACTATAAGTGCTTTTTAGTTCTTATTTGTTTTAATAAACAAAGTACAACCACCCTTTCCACCAAAACTAAGAACCCTGACTGATTCTGCAGATCCCACTAATGAAGACACTTACTGCCAAAAATTTCTGCAACCGCTTCTCGAGTCACTAGTGTTTCTGTTTCCAAATATACAACAAATGCTGCCAAGAAGACCAAGCGCTGCAACACAAACCTCCAGTGCTCATGAAATCTGCAGGAAAATAAGCACACTTAACCTCCAAGGCTACAAACCTTCAGAGAGACGAGCTTAACACAGTCATGTTCAAACAGTGAAGAATTAAGATCATTTTTCAGTAAAATCTTATGCAAAGCCCCAATATATAAAGAGCAATATGACATTTACTATCAATTTTACAAGTTCAAATTTATAACAATTATTTAAGTTTAATCAGCGAGCAATATGGTCTAATTTTGATGAATATGAAAATTTACACCAGGCTTGGTGGCTCATGCCTGTAATCCCAGCACTTTGGGAGGCCAAGGCAGGTGGATCACCCGAGGTCTGGAGTTCAAGACCAGCCTGGCCAACATGGCAAAACCCCATCTCTACAAAAATAACAAAATTAGCCAGGAGTGGTGGCACCCACCCATAGTCCCAGCTACTCAGGAGGCTGAGGTGGGAGAATTGCTTGAACCTGGGAGGCGGAGGTTGCAGTGACCCAAGATCACACCACTGCACTCCAGCCTGGGCGACACAGTGAAACTCCGCCTGAAAAAACAAAAAGAAAATTTACAACTGAAGATTACAGACGACAAGAGCAACCGTGCTAAGTTTAATTAGGAAGAACAATGATACTGCTGTGAGAAATATAAAAATTTGCAACTGACGATTGAAGACAACTGTCGCCTCAACTTACTCCTACATTTTGATTTGAGTGCAGGATACCAACAAAATTCTGATTTTCAAAATTGCCATTTGCAATCACTAAATAAATGGACTTAAAGTGATAGAACAGTGAGCTAGAAGTCTGAAAAAAGAAAAGGACATTTTACAACCTGTGAATAGTTACACTGGGCCTCCTGATTTTCAAATGTGGGAATAAATTCAAAAAAAATCTCAACGCAATGCAGGTCACATAAACCCTTTTCAAGGCCAAATCTAGCCAGAAGGCAGCCTGTGTGTGACCTCCAGAGATGCTCTCTAAAGACCCCACCAGTTCTACTGTCCTACCTCTCTCTGTGCTTCAGTTATGACAGCAGTCCCTGACTCTTTCAGTATCAGGGACTGGTTTCACGGGAGACAATTTTTCCACAGAAGGTGAGGCAGATGGTTTCAAGATGAAATCGTTGCACTTCAGATCATCAGGCATTAGATTCACATAAGGAGCATGCAACCTAGATCTCTCCCATGCAGTCAGCATTACGGTTCTCACTACTATGAGAATGAAATGCTGCCACCAATCTGACAGCAGGTGGAGCTCAGGCGTAATAGGAGGCAATGGGGAGCAGCTGTAAATACAGATGAAGCTTCACTCACCCACCACTCACCTCCTTCTGTGCACCCCAGTTCCTAACAGGCCACAGACCAGTACCAGTCCACAGCCTGGGAGCTAGGAACCCCGGCTATACAGCGAGGATCAACAAATTTTTTCTGTAAAGAGCAAGCAGTAAATAGTTTAGTCTTTGTGGGCCA